TCATCATCATCACTAAGAGGAGACAAAACCCATAAGACAACAACAGCATGTACCGAGTACAAACCAAAACAATTAAAAACTGAGAGGAAGTGACCACATTAGTCATCAGGACAACTGAAGTAAGATGGGGCGGCACGAGGCAAGTGAGTTGCGGTGAGTGATTCAGGACTAACACTGCGAACAGTGAGCACACGCCAGAGCTGCTGCAGATGAGCAACCGCAGTGACGGGGTGCCAAGACCCTGCCCGACCCAGGCCACACAACGGAGAACCCAGAAGAAGTGGCTATGAATACATGCCAAGGTGACCCTGACTTTGAGGCTCTGCTTCAGCAGGTTCCATGGAGGGTGGCATGGAGGACAGGAGTCACTCAGAGAGCAAAACAAAGGCTGACCTTTGTTGCTGCACACACAAAGGATGACCAGGAATGGTACTGTGAAGCCCGGAGCCATATGAGCTGATTATTTCTGACCCCCTTCCCCTTTCTGGTTCTTCCCTACAGATCCAGGGCCATCCTTACTTAATGAGCTGAGACCACCTTTTGTCTCCGGCCTAAAAGCTGGGACAAGAACACCTTCCTCCAACTCCACTGTCCTGAGCACTGGCAAACTCCTAGATCAGGGTTCTGTTTTCAATCCCTCTCCCTGTGTTTAAAAGCTAAGACTTTCCCCCAACTCAAAGCACTCATTGCCATATAAATAGATATATAGAGAGAGGGAGGAAAGGCATATATATGTATAGTATATGACGTGTGTGTATCCCATACACACACGCTTGTGCATGCACACGCATCCACTCCTCCATATCCTCAAGATCCTGCACAAAGCTATTCTCTCTGAGGATCCTTCCACAACCCTCCAGGCAGTGCTTATCACAGCCCTTGACAGCCTATAGGTGTGTGATGGTTACTATTAAGTGTCAACTTGATTGGACTGAAGGATGCCTAGACAGCTGGTAAAGTATTGTTTGTGGGTGTTGTCTGTGAGGGTATTGACAGAGGAGATTGACATTTGAGTCAGTGGCCTGGAAGAGGAAGACCCACCCTCAATGTGGATGGGCACCATTTAATCGTCTGTCTGCATGGCTAGAACAAAGCAGGCAGAAGAGGGAATGGGAATAGCTGACTTGCTGGGTCTTTTGGTTTCATCTTTCTCCCATGCTGGATGCTTCCTTCTCTTCCTCTGATGCCCTTGGAAGGCTGCAGGTTCTTTGGCCTTTGGACTTTTGATTTACATCAGTGGTTTGCCAGGGGTGCTCAGGCCTTGGGCCACAGACTAAAGGCTGCACTGTCAGCTTCCCTGCTTTTGAGGCTTTTGGACTGAGCCACTACTTGCTTCTTTCTTCCCCAGCTTGCAGACAGCCTTTCGTGAGACTTTGCCTTCTGATCATGTGAGCCAGTTCTCCCCTATACACTCCCTTTCGTAAAGACATATATCCTATTCGTTCTGTCCCTCTGGAGAATCCTGGCTAATACAAACGGTATCCACACAAGTCTTTGTACATCCCATCTTCACTCTGTAATTGTTTCAAGCACAAAAATGCATCAGAGCGACAGCTCTTGGGACGTCAAACACCTGCAGATCTCATCAGGTTTTATCTTAGCCCTTGTACCAAATCAACCACTGATAATTTAAGAGCAAGGACTTTGCCAGCCAGGAGACAGGCTCTTCCCTGGTGGACAGCACTTCCTCTGTCCTTAAAACATAAGCACTTACGTTCTCTTTCCTGCGGAACTTAGTCCCTGTGAGGTGAGCGATTTCCTCTGTCTTTGTGCACACCCAGTGTGGAGCAGTCATGTAATATGTGTGCTTGTCACACTCAACACCATGTTCTCATTTTTGCATTCACTATTCCTGCATTAACATGGTTCTCAATGGTCGCATCTACTGACTTAAGTGTATTTCATCATATTAACTCATTCATCCACCAAATGTTTACTGGATGCCTACTATGTAGGTGACTGAAACTCAGCAGGAAACAAAGTCCTTGGATGTGGCATCATAAACATGCAGCCACAAGCTATGGGAAGAGCTGTGGACTGTGCTCCTGAAGAAGTGGTAGAGTAGAAACTGAACTCTGAGTAACCTTGGCGTGTCACATAGATCTACCACAAAGTCAGAATGACAATATGCACCCACTGGTGGGACTGCATGAGAACTCAGATATGAAGAGGGCATTGCAAACAACCCTGATGGCTATGTGGTGTTATGAAAATATGCCATGTCCCTATGAGTAGATATCAGATAGTTTTCAATGCTTGCTAACATAAACAGCATTATTGTGGGCATCTTTTTTCTCTTAATATTAGTTCTTTAGTGAGTGTTTCTCAAGAGTGCGACAATGGAGAAAAATAATATTGTAAGTAATGTTACGGCTCTTCTTACAATATTGCCAGATTTCTCTCCAGAAGATAAGGCTCGATTTGCATATCATACCAGTGTGTATGAACACATGTGTTTCTAGAGGCGTTATTTAAAATGTTAGCACCCAATAGAGCATGAGCATGCAGCAGTCAGAACGGACACCTGCTGTCGACCTCCAGCACAGCCGTGGCTTTCTGGCCTTGCGTTCTGTGATTTCTCCTTTTTACCGAGATTTTATTATGTGACTTTATTATTTCCGTATTTTTTTTTTACTGCGAGATATCCTACAGTTGTTCTCAGGCTCATTTCTTTCATTGCTAGAAAGTTATTCCATTAACCAAATGGAGATGCATTTATTTCCCTATGTGCCAACCATCAACATCGATATCAGACTCCTCTTATTATAAGGAATCAGTCTTAAATGTGCAGGATTGGAATTTTTTCTGAATATTTTCTACCTAATGTCTTTTCCCATCGTGTTGATTTCCTTTTTGGTGAGACTGGTTTTTTCCTGCTGTAAACATCTATTTTTGAATTTTTATGAATTGATTATGTCCATCTTCTCTCATCACAGCCTTCATTTCTTCAATAGACAGTAACATATCTTCCCTCTAAACTGGAGACACTATAGTGTTTCCTTCTTGCTTTCAAAGAATTTTTCATTTTGCTACAAAAGTTATACATGATCATTACAGAAAAATGTAAGAAGAAAATTTTAGGAAAAAATTGACTGCAAAGGTAACTACTAACAGTTTGTTTTTCCAGTTTTTTTGTCTTTTTATTTTTCAATTTCTATGAGATCATACTCTACTGGTTATCATCTGTCTTTTTCTCTTAAATCTATATTATAAACAGTTTTCACATAGATTTGTTTTCTTCTTAAACACACAAAATATTCCAGTATATAAATGAAATAAATGTTGCAGAGTTAATGCCCTATTATTGGTGAGAACTACTGATTCTAATTTCTTGCATTGTCTATAACACAATGAGTTACTCTAGTTATTTACTTTATCTCCAACATGAAACTCAGGACAGGAATTAGATCTTTCCCATTTTGTATCCTCAGGACTTAGCATAGTGACAAATTCACAGTAAGTGCCAAATAAATAAGTAAATAACAGCTAACCATTATTGAGCAATTACTTTGTACCAGACATTGTTCTAAACACTTAATTTACATTAACGTGTTTGTTTCTTACCAAACAAAAACCAAAAATTTTTACATATGAGTAAACCAAAGCATAAAGCAGTAAAGAAATTACTCCAATTAGTTCCCTTCACTTCCTCCTATTTGCTCTGCCCTTTCAGAACTTACACTGGGACAAAAACAGGGAACCCTGGTGTGGCCCTGAAGTGAAATATGGATCCACAGGCCCCATTCCACAAAGCTAGCAGAGCAGGAGGCAAGTGTTGGAGATGGGATCAAAGAGTGTCCAGAGATTACACAGAGGCAGCCCTGCCCCCAGACCTGTAGTTCACAGGACCAAAGCCATCTTCTATGTTAAATTCTGAGTTATTACTGCAAAGTTATCACCTCGTTTAATTCTACAGCAGCCCCATGAGATAAGTAATATTTTACCCATTTTTACTTGATGCCATGGGGAAAAAAACAACATATCCAGGGTCACGTAGATTGTCAGAGTTGAGGCCAGGATGCAAACCCCAGTCCCTCAGACACCAAAATCTAAGCTCGTCTTAGCCCCACGCTGGAGAGCTTTGGAGAACTCATGAGTTAGGGGCAGCTTATACGGTAGAAACCTTTCCCTCTAAGGGGAAAATCTGCATTTCTCATGATTTCCGTTAGGTTTACGTTTGTTTGTTTTTTTTTCTTTTTTGAGGGAGTCTCCCCGTATCACCTAGACTGTAGTGCAGTGATGCGATCTCCACTCAAGGCAACCTCCACCTCCTAGGTTCAAGCGATTCGCATGCCTCAGCCTCCCAAGTAGATGGGATTAGAAGCATGCACCACCATGCCCAGCTATTTTTGTATTTTTACTAGAAACAGGGTTTCGCCATGTTGGCCAGGCTGTTCTTGAATTCTCGGCCTCAAATTACGCGCCCGCCTCAGCCTCTCAAAGTGCTGGGATTACAGGCATGAGCCACCACACCCAACCCTTTTGGTTTAGATCTGAAACTCTTCTGACCAAAAGCTCTCCAGCAGTGGGCACAGAAGAACTGGGGAAGATACAAGTCTCTAGCCCCAATCCATTTGAATGAGAAGAAAGAGTGATGAAAAGACCCTCCCTCAGAGCTTTCAAGAATGGGAGGGCAGGGGGCAGGCCCATGAGTAGCTCCTCTCAGCGGCACCATGGTGTCCTTCACCATGTACCCCCATTAGGCATTTGCCACCTTTGGAGATGGGGAGTGGAACTGACAGCAAGACAGACCCAAGGATTAAGCCTCAGTATAACTGACGCCAAACCCCAGGTTCTTTCCACTATTAAAATTGTAAACTATGGTGGTGTAGCTTGGCTTTAAAGTTTGGGTGCGATTTTGGGAGGCAGCAGAGGGAGCATGTATGTGGCATTCCACATGCAGGAGAATCGAAGCAGAGTTATGGAGGCAGAAATGAGCATTATGTTCAGAAGATAGTTAAACTAACCTGTGGTACAAAGAAGCAGCAAGGAGCACTAACCTGGCATCAGGAGACCTCAGTTTCAAGTCTAGAAATGCATCGTGGTCGTTCAGGTCACGTATGGGTCTTGGAGTTCTTCTAGGCCCACCCTCTTGTGCTATTGAAGACAAAAGGTCTTCCATCAGGCTGTAAAGAGAGAAAGCTAAGACCTAAGAGGTCAAATCTCTGTCACAAATCACCCTAAAACACTGCCCAGCCCAGCCCCACTCAGCCCAGAGCAGTTACGGGAGCAAAAGGAGCTGCTCAGCTTCCAAACTGGAGAAGAAAAGGTTGGCACTACTGAGCCCCTACCAGATGCCAAGCGTAGGCCTAAGCAACCTACCAAAACACTGGCAACTTCTTCTACAAGTTACACGTGGAGAAACTGGTGCTTAGCCCTCTGTTCAAGGTTAAACCAAAGCTATGTGATGGAACCAGGATTTTAATTCCAATCTTCCTGATTCCAAAGTTTCAGCTTTAAAGTGCCCTTCTCGGGAATACCAGCCATTCCCTCCAAGACCTGGGACATGCACAGTGGGAAGCTGTCAGCACCTTCAGAAGAGGCGAGGTGCTACCCACACTATTGGAACTGGGACTTTGGGGAAGGATGCCTGGCAGGCACTGCTGGCAGAGGACACCTGCAGCCATTGCTAAGCTGTGTCCGGACAGGGAGAGAGCAGGGAGAATCAGCACATTCTCCACTCTCACTCCTGCACCCTGATCTGCTGGTGGCTGCTCTTAGGCAGAACTCAGAGAGCACAGAAGAAAAAGTAAGGGGACAGCTCACAGGGCTCAGCCTTCCAGGGCCCAGCATGGACAAGGGCAGAGACTATAGTCAGAGGGGCAAGTAGAGAATATCTAGTGTAGAACCCAATGCTCCCTCCCCAATGCCTTCACCTGGGCCACCCTCTCTGGGAGCTCCTGGGAGGGATAGCTCCATTCCAAGCAAGTGTTCAAAATGGAAGAATTAGGTTTCAGGCAAACAAGCAAATGTAGAGGGTCATAGGAAAAGGCCCAGCCGAGAGCAGTGAGTTTGCTGCTGAGAGCTCCTCATGGCAGGCAAAGTAGACATCCCTGTCAAGTCACAAGTTCCCTAACTTCTTGGAAATGGATGACTTTTATCTTTGAGGGCCTGAACAGCCTGGCACAGGAGTCAGCTGTGCAAGTTCCAGATTTGGGGCTTATCAGATCTTCTGATTCCCAAGCAGAATCCATGGAGTTGGCAGCGGTGAGTCCTTGCAAGCTCTCATTCACCCTTGATAATCAACTAGTCTTTGGGGGACATGGTGTGCTTGTGCTCCACGGTCTCTCCTCAAATCTTCCCTGGCCTGTTGTGTCGATAAGATGGTGATGTTCAGAAACGAGAAGCGAGTCAGACCAGGTCAGGTCCCGTGGCCTATTAGGTCAACATACCACCACGACCAACTGAATTCACGCTCCAGGAGATGTTTGCATTTGACCATGAATATGAAGCTCTGAGCCAAGGAGAAGATGGAGATTCACAGAGGGTAGGGGCAGTGGTATACAGTATTTTGCAGGTAAGGGAAGCTCTAAAATCCCAATATCTGGGTCTGCACAGAGACTGGCTCTGCCACTGGGTGACCCTAAGGGAGTGAGGGTTCCTGGCCTTCCCTGTGGTGTCAGCACCCTAGTCAGGCTATTAACGCTCTGAGTTGCTGCTCCCAATAACCCTCCCCTAACAGTCTCCACCCAGCAGCCAGAATGATTGTTCTGAACCAAAAAAAAAAAAAAAATCTGATCATGTCCCTTCCCTGCCTAAAACACCTCTCATGGCTCCCCATGCCCTCAAGATAAAACCTTTACCTGTGGCTGCATGATCTGGACTGTCCTCCTCCAGCCTCGCCATTCTCACATCTCATGGTCCTATTAAAGTGGACTTCATAAGTTGCTTGAACATGCAATGCCCCCCACCCCTGGCACTCCCAGTCCCTTTGTTGGACCTATTCCTGCCCATCTCTCATCTCTCATCTGACTGCACACTTCTCCAGGCTCCCTCCCCAATGCCTTCACCTGGGCCAGCTTTCCCCATGGTGAGCCCACCCACCCTGGCACCTGCATCACTAGGCTTACCACTTGCTGGAGCCCACAAAAGCCGCAGCTTCCCCCACAAAAGAAGCTCTCCCCAGCACAAAAGAAGAAGTTCTCCCCCACAAAAGAAAAAGCTCTCCCCCAACAAAAGAAGAAGCTCTTCCCCTACAAAAGAAGCTCTCCCCAAACAAAAGAAGCTCTCTCCCCACAAAGGAAGCTCTCCCCCAACACAAGAGGAAGCTGTCCCCCAACACAAGAGGAAGCTGTCCCCAATAACAGAAGAAGCTCTGTGAGGTAAAGATCCTAATTAGTTTGCTCCCCACTCTACCCCAACACCTAGTACAAATAGAGTGATGTTAGTAACATTAGCTTGGGGAGGCTCCAAAACAGAGTTGAATGAATAAACGAAGGAAGGACTCTATCATTCTTTCATTAAATGTCTCTGTGTCTCCTCTAGGGCTAGGGCATAAAAAACAATCCCTTAAGTGTGTCCAGGAAGCATGCTGAGAACAGAGCAGCAGACTCCCCACTGGCCCCAGCCTCAGTGGCCATCACTGCTGGGCAGCTCTGAGCTCTGTCTGAGCCACAGACATGGGACGGGGGTAACCCAGAGAACTGTGACCAAGAGCCAGCCACACGGGTCCCTGGGGATCTCTCTCTCTCTCTCTCTCACCTGACCAGGTGACAGGGAAGACAGAGAAGAGGATAGTGTGTGTGTGTGTGTGTGTGTGTGTGTGTGTGTGTGCGTGCGCGTGCGCGCGCACGCACATGCTCACACAGTCTGGCCACACATAATAACCCCACACACAGCCTTGCATCTGCATAGTCAGGGAGGAAGGAGGGCCTGTGCTTTTCTTCTACAGATGCCCAGTGACCCAAGCAGCTGGCCCTTGGACAAACTGCAGAAAGGCAGCTGGCCTCTCTCCAGCCTGTTCCCCAAAGTGCTGTTACTCTGCCTTTCTCAGGCTTTGGGTTCTACACTAGATATTCTCTACTTGCACCTCTGGCTATAGTCTCTGCCCTTGTCCATGCTGAGCCCTGGAAGGCTGAGCCCTGTGAGCTGCCCCCTTACTCTTTCTTCTGTGCTCTCTGAGTTCTGCCTAAGGGCAGCCACCAGCAGATCAGGGTGTGGGAGTGAGAGTGGAGAATGTGCTGATACTTCCTGCTCTCTCCCTGTCCGGATACAGCTTAGCAATGGCTGCAGGGGTCCTCTGCCAGCAGTGCCTGCCAGGCATCCTTCCCCAAAGTCCCAGTTCCAATAGTGTGGGTAGCACCTCGCCCCTTCTGAAGGTGCTGACAGCTTCCCACTGAGCATGTCCCAGGGCCCTTGTAAGTTTCTCTTAACCCTGCCTGTACCTTGCAAATAGTCCGTTTTCAATTCCCCTTCTCTCATCCCTTCACAGGGTGCCATCTTGTTTTTCTCAGGTACAGATTTTAAAGAAGTCTCAAGTCCCTGCCCTTGAAAAACTTGGGGACAACATTAACAGCCTCTCACTCTTGCCTCCCATCCCCTCCAGAATTCTCTGTAGTCAGATAAACTGCCCCTTCCATGGAGAACAGGACAGCCTGGAGGCTACAGAATACGCCTGCCAGAGAAGCAGTGTTGCCTGCCCCAGAATGTGCACATTGCATCATCCCATCCTCCTCCTAGATTGGCTTCCTTGCCCTAGAAGGGGAGTGGCATTCCACCTCGGGGGAGCAGCCTCGCAGGCAGGGAGGGGCCAACTGACATGACAACCAGTGAGACACAGCACACTCCCCTTTAATTTCCTTTGTGACCTCTTCCCCTGGTGCATACATGTATACCCTCACACGTCAGGCCCAGGTGAGCAAAGTGGTCCTCAGTATCCATTTGTGCCTGTTTACACACACACAGACACATATACACACACACCCATAGACACTCACATGTTACACACACATATACATAAGCTTAGCTTATGTTTGGAAAACACACCAAACCCTCACTTCTACCCCAGCCTCCATGAGGCCAATGGCCCTTAGCGCCAGCTGTCCCTACAGAGAACACATGGTTTGGCCCTTCCCAGTGTGCCTCACCTATGGCCTGGACAGAAGGAGAGAGCAGACCCGCATTTCATAGAATTATAAAATGGAGCAGCAGAAAAGCCCCATGAGATCCCTTAACCCAGTGTTACTCAACAAGTGTTCCAGCAAACATGATTCACTGAGATGCTCTGTTTAAAAAAAAAAAAAATGAAATTTCACAGTCCAGGGAGTTTGGGAATCAGCACACCATGTCATCCTCTCTCAGACAATCGCAAACCACACAGGCACATCAAAGTCTCTGAGAGATCCTGAAGGAGAGGTACCTATTAAAGACTGCTTACCCCAGCATTTCACCAGATAGGTGGCAGACAGGGAAGAGATGATACAGAGGTGATAGACAGTAGAGACAGATAGGATGATAATGTCGATAGATAATGTAGATATTATAGATAGATTTTGTAGTTAAATTAACTGCACAGAACACACTTTTAAATAATATTAGACCAACCAGTTGCATTTCATAAATGAAGAAGCAGGGACTCAGAGAGGGATTTGCTCAAGATCACATCACTGGTAAAAGACAAAACTGGGCCTAGAACCCAGGCCTCCTAATCCTCAATCTAGGCTGTTTCCAACAGGCCCTGTTGTCTTTTTTTGTATTTAACTAACTCTAAGCCCCAGGATTTTTGGTAATCAAATAGATCAATGTTATTTCCAAAACAAATCCGAGTGTCAGTGATTTTGCTCCGTGACTTGACGTGGTCTCCCTCTCCGGCGTGCCCTCTGCTGAGGAAGGTGCCCCGTTCTGCACCCCGGACTCTCAGGCCCACTGTGAGGGGTGGCAGGGCCCAGGGCAGAGGCCCAAGGGCTAGTCTGGCACTGGGCTCTGGACCTGGGTACCTGGATCCTATTATGCTACTGAGTCAAGGAGGTAGACTTCCTTACAGGTGTCCCCAAATGGGGACAGAACCTTGTCATACCATCCCCAAGGATAAGGTTGGATGAAAGCTGAGGCCTGACCTGGGCCCAGGTGCCACTGCCCAGGCCTGGCACTGGTCCCACAGGACTCAGCTGCTAGAACCAGAGCTTCC